CCGGTCGAAAACGTCATCCATAAAGAGACCAGGTTGGCATGTAAAACCGCCATTTGATTAACATTCTATGGCACATCTCGTTCGCCCGGCATGGTGAAGTGTTTCCATCAGACCAGAGCATCACTATTTTTTAATCTCTTTTTAAAAAACGGTAAGAAAGCTGTGTGATAACTATGGCGGTGTACTTCAGTAAGGCGTGCCTTTTAAAATACCCGCCATCATTTTTATGGACCACTTTACCAATGAATGATTCTAAAGTGTTCAATCACACAAGCGCGGCTTCAGTCCAGTGACGTAGTTTGCTCTCCAATTCTCCACACCATGTCGTAATCCAGAATAAACGTAAAAATGCCAAAAAGCAAACTATACATGGGTAATCAACTTCCGATTGTTGTTCGACAGGAAAGCGCAGCGAATCATGACGAATTCGGACGCTACCCTAATGAAAATGATCAGACTAATCAATTAGTACATTGTGGCTATTAGAGGATGGATCAATATATATGGCAAATGTTCGTCACCCTTTGAACTGTCATCTTCTGGTTCCACAGGATCGCATGCTGTTCCCGCTTATATTGGAATTCGAGTTCAACTAACGCACAAGCGTGGCAGAGTGCAGCAAGTGCAGATGTTACATCACATTCATTGATTATTGATCTCGCGGAATATATCGTTGCCCTTACTGCAGATAACTGAAGGCTGCAAAACATCCTAAATATAGTCCCTCAATGTCTCTTTTGCTTGCCTATAGAGCCGATTTTTAGAAACTAAGTTAATTTTTCGTCTGCATTCAGCTGCGATGCGCTCACTTTGACAAAAAAATGGCGCTAAATTATGTCTACTAGTTCAAGTAACCCGGATGAAATAATCTTCCGAAACACCAGGCAAAGAACGAAGAGGCGGTCAGTTTGGTTTATTTTCTTACATGGAGCGTGGAACCTGTGACACCTGAAAAAAAGAAAGGATTCGGATCAGCCAGTTTGCTCTCCATTTTTGTTTTACTTTGCGCTCGGAAAGCCTGGTCGTTAGGCATATAATTTACTCCCAAGATGGCTGCTCGCGACCAGTGATCTGTGGTAGCTGTTCTCTTGTAAGGCTGTCAAAACAGTAAATTGATCGAGATCCTCCAGGGTGAATAGCCTGGTGCCACTGGACTCAAACAGTCAGAATAAAATAGTTCTGTACCATTTGTCAAATGCAATTACAATCCCCTAAATACGGATATAAATAACAGGTGCTCTTGTTACAGAACCGTGCCCGGACTGGTGTTTTGTGTCAAGATGGATTGACAAGTTGTTGGTGAGTGTTGAATGCCTGGCCCAATATAGCTAGAACCAACAACTGATGGATTTTCGAGAAAACATTTCTACAAGAAGACGCGTTAGGGTGTACCTCATACTCAAGTAATTCGTCGGACTAAGGAGACGTCTTCTACACATCTGTTAGCTTCCCTCTTAAATTAGTCCTGCCTCCGTATATATTTGATGTCTAATTTAGGTTACTGGAGGTCGAACTGAGCATGACCAACTGAGTTTGCCTGCAATCGGATATTTGGCGTGGTTCTCTTGCTTACCTCGGGTACAGCAATTATCTTGATATATTTCGTCATCGTGCGGAGGCGCATCGGGTACCGTGTAGACCCTCTATGATACCACAGCAATGTGCTTGGACCCAGTCGTGTGACGAATGTTGATGAGCACGACCGCCTCACTGTCCAACAAAGTATCCTATCCTGGGCATAAAAGTATCTGTTCCGTTTGAGTGATTTTGGAACGTGCGCAACTTGATAATTCAAGGGATATAAGTCCTAAACGTCGGATGATATTCTCCACCGCATCTTCAATAAATGCAAGACACGATGAATAAGCGCATCCTTTGTATAATTTGTCAAGCTTTTAACTTTGTTTTCATTTTATGTTCAATTACAAAATCTTATATTATTCTGAGGCAGTATACGACGATAAAGAAAATAATCACAATTCCATATCGAGGCGTTCACACAAATGTGTCCAGTAACTCCCGCTTGTTGAGTATAGCAAATACAAGGCTGCAGAGCGAGTCTTCACATGCCTGGAACAACTGTGTTCGATCAATGAATCTGAAGAAACATATTCCTCCGATGTAACTAAACTTATTCATTTCGCTCCACTCTCGTTTGAACGCCGACGCAGTTAATCCGGATAATCCAAGAGAGTGAGAATCACATAAGGTCGTGCGGAAGTGGGAATTGATATTGCAGCTCGGATGTAGTGTTGAGTTCATTTCCATATACAAACACAACTTACAAACTGGGAGGACAGTTTTTCGCCGCCATGTACTTCGAAGCAAATGATACTAGAACACAACAAATCCAAATTTAGTTGGTGGTAGCGGGAATTGTAGAAATCACGCTCACGCCACTCTCGTTAGAACAGTCCTGAAGCAATCTTTCTGGTAGACCCACACTAAAGGAAGGAAAGCAATAGGGTCGGTTTTTCACCTCATTAGTACTCATCCGCAGTGTATACCCAAGTTTGTAGTCTGAGCAGCTCTACGAAGAAAAGCCTGAAAGCAATGGTCTTTGCTCACTGCTTACTTGAATATGGTCATTATTTTGCCGGGTGATTCGCCCAAAGGAAGGGCTTTTATCCACCCTACTAAAAGACCGGAAAATCGGTCCCTTGTTTTCTTCTGAAATATTCATTCCAATAGATTGAATGTGCAAACCAACTGGGATAAAGTAAAATATGCTGAGTTTATCGCTTCAATGCAAATAAGCATTGTGCTTGTAGTTAAATCCCTGCAAGACTGGACTATAGTGAGCTTGGTATGTATCCGTGTGTACGTAGTTCTATAGTAGCTCTATAGAGAAACGGACGCCACCAACTTGTTCACACTCGGTTGACGATTTAGCCTTTGTTTCACTGGAAAATGCTCTTTCATCTGTTTACCATAGGTTTCATGTACTTATGATCAGTTTAAATGTCCGTTCCTCAGAGGTTTCTACCGATCCCCAGGTAAAATTAATGTCAGTTTAATTGCTTGTGATGTGTACCTTTCGACTGCCCTTACCTGACATCAGAATCCGTAGTACAGAAACTATCATAACATATAACCGAGATGCCCGATGAATAGGATCACGTCGAATACGCCATCATATTCAACACCAAAGACAACTACCTTGAAGTCCGCCGTCCAAACGGGGTGTCGCAAGTGGGCTGATTTTGCGCAGGTCCTATAATTCTGTTGATTTGTCTGTGCGACTGTGAAACAGGTATCCATATTTCTGTGCTGGAGATCCCTTCGTCCAGTTCCTTGAAGCCGTTCCGATATGCGTGGCAGCGTACTCGAACAATGGTTCTTCCTCGAACGGAATCAGCAATTAGCAACTAACATCAATGAAAGGTTCGTTGAAAAAATCACATTGCTTAGAACTAGGTGTGCTCAACTGGTTAAAGACGTTAGCTTACAGTTTTCAAGTGTACACTTTCACATCATTACTTGTTTAGCGCACACGTGATCCTTAATTACTAGGTAGGTCATGGTGACACATCTCTATCTTCTGGTCATCTCATCGACTCGCATTGGTCTGTTAGTATCGCATCAAACGGACTACACACGAAGGTAGGCAGACTGTAGAATGCTAGAGGATTGCTGTTGACAGCATTAGTCATACTGAGTGGCGCACTGCTACGCAGCACCGGCAGACTCGCTGTGACGCTAGCACTATTGGTCATGTAGCCTATCACACCAAGCTCTTCATGGAAATTGATGTGCTGCGAATGAATGTCAGTACAGGAAAATGTCCGAAACGTTTTGCGTCTTGGATTATGAGACAAACCCAGTTGAGGAGTAGGTATTGTTTTTAATCACTACGCTACTCCAAGTTAATGTTGTAGTGATCCTTATCACACGGAGTTATTCATCTATAGTGAGTGTTTGCTAGCAGAATTGTAAGACACCTGTACGATTCAGGAAATCGAAATTCTTCGTTTGAACGCATACTATAATCATAACTAAGTACCACATTTCATGCACTTATTCCCCTTGTAAACTCAATGAGAGCGAGAAACAGCATAGCAGGATAGACTAAATCCAGCTATTTCATCTATCTCCTCAGCTGTTTACATTCGTAAGCAAGGTTAGGGTAAGATGGTGGGCACATAATTAGGTGGACTAAAACACAAGTCAGTGAAAACATTAGAGCAGGTAAACGGCTGAGAGAAACGCGAAATGATTGGATTCAGTCTATCCTGTTATGATACTTCTTTGTACACAGCACATTAACTACCGGCCACAGGAATTTTTGTTTCTAAACTATACGAAGTGAATGAATCAGAGGGGTATTATTCCGCTTTTAAGGTTACTAGTAACTGCATATTATTTGGACTATGCCGAATGTCAGTACGTGAAGATTTCTGGATTGTCACGTGGTTAATACTTCCTATCAGAGCTGACTGACAATCCACTTCAGTTAGTAATCGATGCTGTTAACTCGACTGCGTCTATCGACTGTTTCTCAGGTGGCTGCTGATCTGTCCACCACGCACGAGAATAAGCTTTTCAATTGCTAAGTGTGGATAATTTCTAGAATAAGTGTGCATACTTCTGTTGCTGAAGACGATAGAACTGTCGGGTAGTAAAACTCAAATGAACGATGTCAACCAAAATGAAGAGCTGAAGTCGATTGCAATAAGGCTATAAGTAGACCGAGGGAAGAGAACAAGCAGCAACAAAGATGTGACCCCAAATTCAGTCTAGCGCTGATACTTACTTCTAAGGCTCAGCAAAGCTTTATTTGGGGCTTTTGACACTCAGGACACGGAATATCTGCTCTTGTCTCAAAATGAGCTGAACTGGTGGCCCAAATTGCGCGCACCGTTGTGAAGTTCCGACAACTTACAAACCCTAATACGTCGCTTTTTGTTAGTCCTTAATTGTAATCCCAAGTTACTGTGCAATGGGGCAAACCCCTAGCCCACTGTATTAGATGAGTAAAGGACAATCGGAAGCAAATAAGACACTGAGCGAACATTCTTGAATTTCAATGAAAAATACATTGCGGAACGAAAGAGTAGTAATAATACCAAATATAATGGTTGTAGGAACACGATAGATAAGTGAACAAGCTAGAATTTGATGGGCTAAGCATATTCATGGTTTTTCCGCAAATTATCAAGAGATCACACAAATTCTAGGCCGTCCGTCTCATAACAGTAAGGTATTTACAAAAACAGTGCCCGGGGTTTTGAATGATGTGCAGAGGACGACGCAACATCAAGAGATAAGAAGCTGACCTGATCGAGGCTTTGGGTGGCTATTGCTGCAGGCCAGTTTTTCAAAACGAACGAGAACAATGATTCAAGTGAATATGCTACAGTTGCCCGACATCTCCATTTCTTCTTATGCTTCAAGTTAAATTCACAATCAAGTCAGCAGTGATGTTCAATTGGGGAAAAATTGCAACAGACGTTCTAGAAATTATTATGAAGTGCGAACAAGTGTTCTTGATTGAAAATGATCCACGATGCGGACTGACAATGACAGCGTACCTGAATAAAACTGCGCCGGAGTAGGGTCGAACGATGTAGTTACCAGACTGGTGTCTCGGACAAAGACAAAATGATGCATCGCGATTTCATTTCGGTTGTTATCCTCATTCAGATTGTTACTTGGTGAGCCGGAAAGCATCATGAGGATGGTAGGTCATAACCTGTTCACATCAGTACATATAGCGCACTAATCACGTCCGATCCAAAAACAGCAGCCACACAAGAGAAGGTTCCGAATGAAGAGTTTCATGATGCGAAAATGGATTGGGTCGTGGGCGGTACTGAGGAGGAATAGATAGGAGATGGAACACAGCCCCGAAGGAGATTAATCTCAACCTATTAGCTATGCACCTGTAGACCGAGATCGAGGAGATGGAGGGTCGAATGCATATGACCAGCAGGAAACATACGGCTAAAACGATAGGAGTTTTGCTTAAAAGACATTGATAGAGAGAAACAGAATTCAGATCACACATGAAAGGCCTGCATGCCCCCGAAGAATAGCGGATTACGGATGGCGAGCACGTAGGAGTGGTGTGGTTGGGTGCATATTGTGGTGGAATTAAAATTCGTTAAATTCTTTGGCGCACTTCTCTGTAGTTGCAATACGCAGTGGTTCCTCTTCATAATCGTCAAAGTTGCTTGCATCGCCTGCTCCGCTGCATTTGGGTGTAAATGGTGCATCCAGCTGAGGTTGAGAAATGGTAGTAACATTGTAGAATCATGTCAAGCACACCGTAAATTTAAACCGGTCAAGAAACTGTAGGAACATTATAAACAACGAGAGCGGAAGTGTCCCTCAAAGAAGCCTGATGGAATATCGATTTAACAGCTTCGATGTTCAACGTTCAGATCCAAGCTGAAGAGAACAGCATTTCTAATCCCTCTGTCTCTGATACTCCACAAAATATAAGACCTGTTTAATAACACGCACTTCTCTATAACGGTAGAACCGTGATTAGACCAACATCCCGTAAGCACGGAATGCTTAAAATCTGTATACCTAATGGACATTCTCATTTGAAGCCGTTAGAACAGAACCACCAGGACAAAGTTTTTGATTCGCTAGAGGTTACTTATAACGGGCCCCGAAAAGTGTAGGAGTGAACTAAATAAGACGGAGTTAACCGTATTGCTCAGGGGCACATGGGAGTAGACTTCCACTTCCAAAGAGTTTGTATTCATCAGAATAACCGAGGTTTCGCACACAACGCCTATTCAGCTGCTTGGATAAATTAAACGCTACCTTACTTAGGGCGAACATTTAATGAGTTGGGTTTTACTTTTTACTTTATTTCAAAGTAGTGTGAGCGCACGGGAATAACCACACATGAGTCAGTAACAAAGGAAGTAGAGCAGAAAAATTAAAAGAAAGGGCTCCGAAACCAAATGAACCAGTTAGGAAGATTAATTGTCTTACTACCATGCAGTATGGTACCTTGATTATTTTGTGGTGTTAATAAATGTAGAAAAGAAAGGGAGAAAATTTAACTTGGGTTCATATGATAAAATATGAAGCCAGTCCGGCACCTGATGGCCAGTAAAAGCACTGACGTTTACTTCGTACAACACAATTTTGTTTACACACCAAAATACAACAATCAGCTATGTGGCAACAAAAGTACATAAATTTCATAAATATACATGTATGCGAAATCATTCAATCGAGACGGGATTAGTTTGGAAAGGAAGAATATGGGGCCGTTCGTGAATGGACCACTGAAGAGTTGTTACCATAAAGTCCTCTTCGGAGGAAAAGCGATTCCCTTCAGATGGGCGTGCCAAACGTCCAAAACGTCTGTCTCGCATAATATCTTTAAACAGCGTAAATCGTTTGAGTGTAATTAATTCCTATTCATTCTGCATATACTTACATTTGGCTCAGCATATAGAGAAAATAGTTCTACTCATCATTAGTCCTCCTCAATCTTCAAATTTCTGACTAACGATCGCGGTAGACAGCACAGCCGGTTCACAACCTCACCTGCGTTCACTGGAAATATTGGGCTCACAGAAGTCGACTAGGGTCGAACAGTCATCATCATCAACCAATAGGGAATAAAAGATCGACAACCATGTGTGTAATAAGGTTTGTCAAGTTCAGAATGTTAGCTACCGCGTTTGGGACCTTAACCTTGAAGCCGGGTACTTGGTTCAACCGGTACAAGCATGTGAAAGGGGAAAATATAGGCAGTTCAGAAGAGAATCTAGTACGGGAAAGTGTGTAAGTTAAATTGATAAAAATGGAACCGTGCAATTGGCTCACAACACGTTTTACTAGCCGTGACCTGGTTCAGTAAAGTTAGTCACTAATAATCAAAAGCCGCTCCTAAAGATTGGAAGAAAAAACTCAGTCCCTCTTCAAGGTCTCAGCCATAGTTTGCAATATTTGCACTAGGGATAAAAAAGCCTAAACTAGGTTGGCACCAGAAGCGATTACAAGACAGTCCGGTTCTCAACACTTTGAGATTAAAAGCTTATGCGGCAAAGAATAGATCGACGCTACCTCAGATCAACTAGCTTGTGCTGACGTAATTGAATTTACAAGTACTGCATGATGTCCCTTAACCACAGGAAGCTGCAAACGGTAAATGGTTAGTACTGCGTCGTACTCAGCATGCAAATTCATTATAACGTGTTTATACTTAATCACACTTGGACCGCATAGAAGAACACCAAGTGACCCTCAGCATTACTTGACGTAATTACTGGAAGCATCACAACGGAGAGATTCAGCTGGGTTCCAGGTGGGTCTCTCGAAAAAAGCCGGATTTTTTTGCAAATGATTGTATTTCGCTAACTAACAGTTCTCTTGGATCTTGTGGGAATTCTGTGTTCAAGCTAGAACCAACAAAAATATCGATGTTTATTCCGATACTCCAAAATGGGTATCCGGGAACACTCAACAGTAACTGAAAATCCCGATCACGTCTAACGAATTATAAACAGGAACAGCATCGGAGACAACATCGAGGCATTAAGTGTGAGACGCACATTTATTCGCAAGTCTACCAAGTTCCAGGTAGAAGACCGTGGCAACATGCAATCAAATGTGTGTCCGGTAAGACCACGAAAGCACTATCAGATCATCGGATAATTTGCACTACGATATCCACGCTGAAGAAAATGTGAAAGACCATAAACTGCAAGCGTTGGGACCGAATTTTGGACCAGATGTAGGGAATATCAGCCAGCTACGCTGCAAGGGCAGGTATAACTTGTGGTTTTCTTAAGAAGCGGATAAGCCAGCCAGGGTTTGCAATGTATGCGGCACTTGCCAGTATATCGTTATTTGTCAGTAAGCATCAGTGGAAGAAACAGGTACCACGAGAAAGTAAACAAACAAGCAAAATAAAGCATCCTAGCAAGCGTGGATAAGCAGAACGCAGGAACAATGAAAACGACACAACGACATGGGACCCACGACAATAAACGTGTGTGTTCGTGACCGTCGAGAAACATGCTGTCATTTGTTCATGTCATGTGTTCATCGCTGAAATGATAAATGCTTAACCTCACAATGTGCGCGGAACTGTATGGAAACAAAACCCATGAACACGATGAAAGTGGAAACTATCGTGCTTAGTTCCAAGGACGTGCGTCGTACTCAACTTACTAACTGTCGTTTAAAATGAACAAATTATGGAGAGATGAAAACGCATGCATGCATATGTAAGTAGCGTGCTAGATGAAAGGTTTTAGAGAGGAAACTGCAACAGTAACATATAAAGTAGCCACGTGAAACGCAATTTTATCATGCAATTTGCCATCTTCTACAATACAGAAAGTCTCCGAGACAACGTCATCGTGCAAAATGTACTTTTGGTAGGGTTCTTTTCTGTTTGCTTAATGTGAGCATTTGCGAATGGGCAATATGATAAACACACGATTTAAATCGCTCTGATACACATTTTCGGATAGATGAGACTATACCGCGCCTTTCAAATAGACATACACCACAAGTAATAGACGTACTTCACGCTTATATGTGGCGATCCAGTCAGTAGTTGCAAACCATTTGTGTGTCTTGATATCATTGACGCCGTTTTTCAAATTGCCGAAACGCTTAGTCAAATCGACTTGAAGCAGGTTGCGCAATAGGTCCTTTAAATCAGAACTGAAGTGTGAGGGGAATCGGACCTGAAGGAATAGAAATGCAATTAGCCGAGCATTAGAATAATCACTTCATCGTAGTACCAAAACAGGTAATCTGTTGAGGTGGAAAAAACGCCGGGGCCTGCAGAAAATATCCCCGTGACTGTGGTTGACAGTATGGACAGCAATAGGAGGAGAAAAATAACATGGTGCTACCTCCAGACAAGCATTTCAAGATGCCAGCATCTCCAGACTTGGTTAGACGAGCTGTATGAAAGCTAAAAACGTGGATGTCACTGAAATAAATTAGCAGCCAAATTATGTGGCATATGTAGCCAGGCACAGTAAAGACCACGCGGATCCAAAACTGGAAGCCCATCATACCAAGATATTTCGCAGATATTTTCGTGTGGTTCTGCCATATTATAGGTTTCTCACGTTCCCACCTGCTCGTGCCATTCCAAACTAGACAGTTTGATGGCTGGATAAAAGACATTAAAAAAACACTGAACTGAGGTGGGCCTCGAAATGTGTTTCGGGTGTACTTCGGAGCTATTCACTAATTAACTTGAAGAACTGCGTTCTAGCGAACCCAACATTTTAAGCCCTGAACTGAGTGGGCCTCGAAATGTGTTTCGGGTGTACTTCGGAGCTATTCACTAATTAACTTGAAGAACTGCGTTCTAGCGAACCCAACATTTTAAGCCACATAAAACGTCACTGACGGTGATAATTTAGGCCTTCTCGCTGTTGTCAAACAAGGAAGTGACTAACCAAGTCTCAGTTTCTGCCTTATCCCATTCTGTAACACTGTGAATGCATAACGATCACATGATGCAGTGGGTAAAATGAAGTTAATTTGAGAGGTTTCAAAGGTTGCAAGCATGTAACTGCTGTTGTACAGCATCATTCCGTGAAAACCAAGTAGGCACAAATGTAGACTCAAAGCGATGATGATGATAATGATTATGATGTGAAACTAAGAAGCACAACAGAAAGTCTACCAAGAGGCAGAGACTAAGCACGAAATATTAGCTGAAAAAATACCATGTCAGAATATAATAGTATGATATCATTTACCTTTCCTGACACAATCTTCTCGTATATTTGAATTGGTTGGTCTGCGAAGAATGGTGGATAACCAGCCGCCATTTCGTAGATTAGAACACCCAAGGCCCACCAATCTACTGCTTTGTTGTATCCCTGAGCAGCGACAAGGAAAACAAATGATTTTTCAGTCAACCACTGACAGGAAATTATTTACTGTCAATCTGTTTAGTATGGTAGGACAAGTGAACAGAACAAGGAAATGAACAAATAAAAACAGAGACAGTCGGCGTGGGAGATACACTTGTTCCGTTGTTTCATCCGTACAACGTTGACAGCGGATGTAGTTGATGCACACAAAACTGTGGATGCCATTGGTCACTAATCTGATCTGGGAATTGATTGGTTGAATAAACCAAGGAACTTATCCTGGCTTCCTGTATTAATTCTGTAAGTAGAGGTAGTCCCAAGTGAACTACATCGTGCACCGGAAACCCGTCACACAGCTGATCAATAATACACGGTTCAACTGGCCCGGCAGTATTCCCAAGTTTTGAATTGTACTCCGAATAAGCACACTGTGGAGTTCCGAGACAAAGATCAAAACAAATCTGCAGTGTCTCCAGATTATTGTAACAGGTTGACGTAGCAAAATGAATGTTGAAATATTGACACATACATAAGCACTGTTGTAGTTCTGGTGTAGAGCATAATTAGAGTGAGTAGCGTACTTTGACGACTCAAGCTATGAAAATCTGCAGATAATGTTTTTGCAAACATTGTACAACGTGTTGGGCAATGGACATCTATTTTTGTCATTGACACCAATGATTCGCGTACGATTAACACGCCTCACAATGTTATACTGGCCCACCCAAATACAAGTTACCGTTAAGACACGTTCCTAAACTGTCCTCAGTTTGTATTGATCAGACCGGATCGTTTTGGAGCAAGAACGAATGAAGAATCGGAACGGGTAGATCCACCAGGATCGATAGACGGACAGTGGAGTCACATAACTGCTACGTTAGCGAGAAATGCTCTGCTTATTTATGTCAATGCACACGAACAACGCTTGAGAGCTGAGCTGGGGAGAAAATTAAACAGTGAGACCAGACGCCGAGATGTTGGTAAGATACTTACTGCGACAAGAGCACCAATAATATGATGACGAAAAAAGGACTGTCAGAGAACACACCGGCTTACTTGGTATCTTCCATGTAGAAATACACTCGTTTGCATAGCACTTTGGCTTTGACGGGAGAATCGCCTAGAACCCAGCCGTCTCTTTTTTATGATGCACCCACCTGCCATTATTTGTGCCTACCTGGTGAGCCCCAAGAAGGACGTAGTAGTCGTGGGCGTCAAAGAGGTTTCAACAACCTTATGAGTAGTGTATTATGTTACCCTTCTATAGGCTTTTGAATAGAGGGACGTTTTTTGTCGACAGTGGCAATACACAGGAAAAAAAACAATGAAAATCCATCAGTTATAAAACATTTGGAGATGGTGTCACTTAACTAATGTGTACATGAAGGAACTAAAATTCCTACATAGAATCCGGATACCTTCCACCCTAAAATATTAGGGCAATTCCCAACAGCAGAAGGTATCACGCAAATCGCACTACCGCCCCCAATGTGCAGCTATCTATCATACCTTCCAAAATCCTCGACGAACGAAACCGTGACAGTTATAACCACTGCACGACTAGTTCGCGGTTCTTACAGCTGACCCTTCTTACAGCTCACCCAGTTCGACGGATTCCAGTCGCCCTCAGCTCTTCAGATTTTGCTAGTAAAGCTTCGACCGGTGCTCATCTACCCAACGGAAATGGTTTCACGATAGATGAGTAGATACATAGGTTTCATATAGATTCGTCTGGTTTCAGGTATATTCGCAAACGAAGAAGCGCGTAAAGCCAGTTTCTTCTTTCACGCTCAAGAATGTAGATGGCGTAGAAACAACAGAAACCAATGCTTCAGTGGCACTAAATATGGAATATACGTATCAGTTGCAGCAACCATCCAAAGCGAAACATCGATGAGGGTATTTGGCTTCCCTTGGAGCTTACTTATATTTCACACACATGATGATGAATACACATATATGTCACGTGACTCTCAACTGTGCAGAAAGTTTCATTGACCTTATAAGTAACGTTACGTCAAGAACAAACAAAATTTTCTTCATCAGGTGAATAGCACCATTGCTGCCCTATCCATGATCTTGTGCCATCAAAAAAATTCTCGCCAAATTCTCATTGTCAGTCACGCAGGTAGTTTCATCACCTAAAATGGAGTAACAATGTTTCGAGCAAACTTTATCCGGGCACAGGCGTCAATTGTGATAGGAATCATCCTTAATTAGAAATACGACCTTGTTGTTTGTTGACTTCACTAAAGACCAAAGCCTCATTGAGCACCACTCGGAAATGCTTAGAATCGAATCAAAGCCGGACGGTGCCGAAGACTGTACCCGCCATAAAATTCCTCTGAGGTACATGCGTTGCTCGCACCTTGAAAAAGAGTGCGCTTAAATTCTATTTCCTAACACAATCACAAATCATGCAGACACCTGAAATTGTAAGTCGATAGACAAACTGAATTTCTTATATTTAACTTTTTACAGGAACACAAAACGCATCCAAAAACAGGGGAGCTAGTTTCGATATTTTATTAGAAGTACGATCTGCGAAGTGACGACACTGAAAGGAGAAGCCAATGCCATCCCCATAGCTAAAATCCACTAATCCTTCTTTACACGTTTTACTTAGAAATGTAGTTAAGTTCAACATCGCATAACAGGATAGTCAGAATCGTCCTATGTATTTCAGAATCACTGGTAGTTGAGCTCAAAGCCCCATCATCTATGGCTAACCTCTGTGTGATAATTCTAGCTCTACGAATGCTCGACAGCAGACGTTCACAACGTATAGGTGACACGCATTGAGCCTTAACTCAATACTGATGAAAAACAAATGGTGGCCGGCAAAAGCTGAGAAATCATCGCCATCACAGCTCAATCTTGCGTCCATTCTACGCAGGCCACCACCTCGTGCCTTCAAAGAAGTATTCGAGTTCCGGAAAAGTAAGTAGTATCTATGGATACTTCACGAAGGATTCGCGTAAGAACATCTCAATATTTCAAACGGCCGCAGTGAAAAAAACAGGAGAGCGAAGTTCTAGTGGACGCGGAGCAGCAGAAACGTACATCTGCAGGTATCCGATCCCCATGTAGGCAACAGCCTGACATACCTGCATTTGAGAGCCACGAGTGAGCATTAATTAGAACGCGTGATTTGTCGACAATGGTAGAGGACAAAAACTGGAACATGTTGTCTCCTGGGGCTGCAGGACTTCTGAAGAGTTCTTGCACCAGAAAGTATCCCACTATGTAACTGGGACGTGGCTAAATGACTACGACCTGTAGGACAGGCTTCTTCGGGGGATTCAGGCACAACTGTGCGAGAGCGGCCGTAAGATATGCGAACAGCCCTTGAACGCTAAACTGCATCAAGTGTAGCGGCATCGATGTGGAAAATTTCCGAGGCTACCTATCTAAGTGGCTCTAAATTTGAAGTTTTCTGAAAAGAAAAGTACAGAGACGCATGCAGGTCCCAACAGCCTAGTACAAAACTCTATAGGCTAATTTTTGGTTCTGATAGAATCTTTGTCAGGCAGCGATTAAACATAACAATAGGTAGGCTGGGTAGGATGCCATAAACAAAGTGGGTAGGAGGGCGTTTTCAGATAGGCCATTATTAAAGACGATGATTACCATGGGAATACAGTATTCTGCTACCAATGGCAACTGGGAACAAACCATTACGAGTGATAAGAAGCATTACTATAATTAGGTGCACGATAAAGAAGTGGAATACGGCTATCAGTGCTTACACTCGTCAGCAGACAAAGTTTACTGAGAGAAGAAACGGTCGACAAAAAGAAACAAAGGTGAAGCTATGGTAGCTCAATATTGCATTCTGTTGTGACGGGATAACTTGGTTGGGATACGATCAGTCATGTCTAGAAACCAATAAATGGTAAATTGTGTTCCCAGTCAACTGCGGTGGTGCACCTCTCCGCTCAGTAAGTAAGTAGACAGATTTACTTTGTTCACCACTGCCGGCGAGCCTTATCAAAGGTTTGTCTAAGCTACAACGCGAACCTATAGAGACTAAAAAAGCTGCACGCTGGACAAGTCTGTTTTCTAAATACTCGTAACACGCTGCTTGTGTTTAACTTGTGTTTAACTCCATGCATAGTCACGCTGATATCCATCGGAGACAATGCTAAACAAGGTCACAAAGAAGCGCTACTGCGGTGCTCCAGGCAACACTCAGTTGCACCAGACATGATTGTTTCAGCAGTTTTCCCCGTTCACTACTTCGCAAGTGGTCGTTCAATGAACCGCTTTATAAAATTGGTACAACTTCAAGCTGTATTGCAGTACGAAAGAAAACAAACCGATTAAAATTTAATCAGGAAAGCTGAGCAAAACTGCATTTGTCAGATATATGATATTCGGATTTGTGTCTCTGTATGCTAGCAATGTCCAAGAAAACCACGAGAGGACTGTATGGAAGGGTGGACAGCTAAGATAACAAGCTGTCCAACATTTGTTGGTCTTCGCCACCGGTGTTCTCAAACACAAAGACACCATTCTGTTTTCTCGTGTGCCGTCACCGAGTACTGTCAAACATGAAAGCTTTTTACGCCGGGTTTCTCACTCACTTGATTATACTGTTCTTCAAATAAATCACCAGAATACAAACAGTTAGACTTAGTACGGCTATTTTGTACAGTGATCCTTCAATTTAATGGGCACCGTTTTTGGATAATCTGTAAGGTAGCGTACCTCCAGTAAACTTTACGTTAAATTGTAGCCCGAGACAAACGTCTTGTAATGTACGTGACAAGTGTTTCCATTTGACCAGCAGATGGTTGCTTGTTTTACAAAAATCTCCCAAAAGCTCTCCCTCCAAGAGATGGGCTCCTCTTCAGAGGAGCGCTTTTGGGGAATTATCTCAGGCAGTGCGTAAAACGAATCAACTGATGGTCGAACCGAAATCCTCGTCACCTCAGCCTTTGTGATAGACTGACTGGATAGACTGCAGGAGCTTTCTCGTCCACTACGGATAAGCATTTAGTCTCATTTCTAAGGAAACAGACGTTGATCACAGGAGCTATAAGCGGAGCCGTTTTTGTGTTACTTTCTCTCTTCTGGAGGGTCATTGTATTTCGAGATATGTGTCCGTGGTGGCTACACTCAGATTCTTACTAAGGCTTTCCTCCTAACCTTGCACTCACCAACACAGTCGCGTGACTTGCTCTCGCACCACACATTACGAATATAGCTTACAATAATGTTCCAATTCGACGTTTCATGGTAAACAAATTTAACTGTGTTCATTTGATAGTTCCGATTAGGAGCCTGCTTAACAGATAACCGTTATAGCACACTTCCGCTTAGGAATCAGGAGTGAAAACAATGTTTTCAAAACTAATTCAATGCTGCCTTGATCACACACTGGGACATGTATAAATTAGGAAAGCATAGAGAAAAAGCGGGTGCCGCTAAGCGGACTGAAGACTGGCAGAGTTACAGAGTTGACACTACTGCAAACACTGTTAGCGCAGTACAGTACCGACAAACGAATCTCGTAATTTAGTGACGGAATATTCGGGGTCAACAGTAATGCTGTTGTCCAAGCGATACCTAATGTATTCAACGCGTGAATGTCAAACGTCTTAATGTTTAACAATGTCGCTATTGAACTGACTGAAAGTTCAGCTTCTGTCTCTGAAAAGGGGCGGAATACACAACTTACCTTGCTCAAAATAATTTCCGGTGCTAAATATTCGGGAGTGCCACAGAGGGTCCATGTCCTCCCTTTGACTCGTTTTGCAAAACCGAAGTCCGTAATCTAAACAAAGAATAGAAGGATGCTGTCTGAAGAATGCTCAAAGTAAGGATGGGAAACATGGTTACTCAATGCCTGGTCATCTCAAAACTCCTTTCTGGCAGATTAAAAGTAGGGAGTAGGAAAGCAGCCTAGCTATTGTGTGGCAGAATTAATGTCACGTTTGGAGCATAGTGCTATTTTATGGATGAGTTAACTTGTGGTCTTACACGCAATAAACCCTTCTAGTGCCCATAAATTCCTAGAACGAGGTGAACTTGTCTACTTAGGAAGAAGCATCTTTTTTGCATCTGAGTAGGTAAACAATGTAGGTGGAAAGTGTCAGTCACTGACTGAGTGAACGACATGGAATATAAGCATTTCGCCTGGTTCCTTTCATCATCTTCACTCACTGTTATGAACAATCTCCAGGATAAATAGTGGGTATAAAACACATAAAGATGACACTAGTATCGGACACTACAGAGGACAATGTGAAGAGCTGAAGCGTGGATGCAATGTCAACGCTGAACTGGCTACAGGGACCTTCTGTTATTAGAATGAGGTGCGTAGCGCGTCGCCATCGCTTGGAGTCGATGGCTCGGATACGAAAACGAAATTTGCAATGGCCAGGTCACGTTGCATTTACAACAGATTGGGCAAGCAGTTCAGTGGTCTTCATCCAAAGATATGGTAGAGATATGGTGTATGTATCATGTGCAAGTCAAAGCCCATTGTGAAAAGCCATAGGCAAGCCAAATGAAACAAGTGACCGATCGTATCCGAGGCAAGCGTACGTGCGCGATAAGAACTTACGGATACAAATACAAACTTGAATGACAGTTCAGTTCACAAACATATGGATATGTAGGTGATGAGATTACAGGCACAACATTTAGTGCATTGTCAAAATTGAGACATCTAGCGTAGATGTAGCGTCCTAAAATTGGCAGTATTTTGTATGGTTACAATAGGCTGGAGTATTTTTTGCAAGGCCATTGGTGGGTGACGATCAGAAGTACGAATATTGTTTTAATCGTCTTTGAAAGAATGAACTAGACTCCATTATTCTCTCTAGTTGAACGATTCTATAATTTCATTCAGGTTTGGATGATGAATCATGCATCCTAAGCAACTGCCTATTCAGCGAGAAGTAGAGTCGAGCATCAAAGGGATGACGTGAAGATTTGAACAGGACCTGAAGTCACGGTGCAGTTGAAGGTGTAGGGGATCAAGCGGAACATGTGTACATTACCATATGAATGGCTTAGGAAGCTACGCAAAGCATTCTTATTCAAGTACTAATTGAGGGAAAAAGTAGCCAGTAACAGCTCTTTGCTTTTTACAGGGAGCCTTTCTGCAAAGATTTTGCTGTTTGGATAAAAAACATTAGATCAAAGGGGATTGGGATAAGTCTTAGTAAAAATAGATGGGCAGAAAGTTTTGAGTTCGTATGTCAGTGCTTAGTCGCACTTTCGAAAGCGTAAGTAGATGCTTACTCAACCATGTTTTAAATCACTTTTAACTTCGTAGATCGTCGTTCAAACGGTATTGGATGTGGCCCGGCGGTTAACACATAACGCATGTCAAGAAACCTATTACTGAAGTGTTTGTGAGATGACCGCAATACCTGATAGGGTATTCACAATATGTCCCCCAAAGATGTAATTACAGGAAAAGGTGGACACATTTCTCGACATCAAGAAACGAATGTCTCAATATTATGTTCGGGAGAGAAGAATGGATCAATTGATAATGCCCTACACCCTAGAATAAGGATGTTGCAGTGAATTGTACTTGGTTGGTCAATGGAAGTGCTTTTTCCGGTAGCTGATCCGGTTCATGGTCTTGGGGTGATCACTGAATTTACAATTAAGCGTTTGGCCCACTCTCAAATATCGTCTTTCCAAAGAGAGTTGATGAGGAAAGCCATGGTTGAGGTCTTAAGTGATAACCGTGGGTATAAACAAAATCAACTTGCGCACACAGATCAAGCAGAAAACGCGTTAATTTTATTCCTGATCTTACAGCCTCTTATGTTCAAGTTAACACAACATTGTCTGGTCACTAATTGGATAGTGGCAGAATTCATCGATTTTTCCTGTTTACTAAAGCGAAAACAACTAAATCATGTGATCACTTGATCCATAGAGCTATGGAGATGGGGCAACGCATTACAGCTTGCTTCTTGGCCTCACGTGATGAGGCGCGGACAAAACTTGATGCCACCCACGATGGAAGCGGGCGTTTAGTTAAGCATCTTGGATTGGGATGAGATAAACACGCACGAAGAGTACGTTTCGTGCAACAGCTTTTGCCGTAAACAGAACACAGGATTTGATGCCGTGGACACAGATATAGCGTCATATTACCCAGCTACTGAGTGAGGAAAGCAGGATGATCATGTTGGAATCCAACGAAAGCAACTGACTAATTAACGTGATATACTTCGATTACTAGAACCAAGGATGAACTTCAGCTTATCTTTTTATCGACGCATTAATGCTTGGATTTTTCTTTTGCTTATGTCGTTAAAAACAGCCATTCCTTTCAATGACGACAAAAAGAGAACGATGACAACGACCAAATAAAACCGGAATCTAAGGGCACCTAAGGCGGCAAACTGATGAGGAATTGCTGGGGCAATTAAAAAATACGGGAATAATATTAGTATACCCCATCTAGGACGGTGTCTGCAAAGTCTGCAAACTATTTCCTTGAAAGACTAAATTTGAAAAAGTAATATAGAGGATGGAGTTGTTAGGCAATATCGGCTTGGTGGTTGAAATGCCCTGTGAGTTCGACAGCTTTTCTCCGGCAATTTGTCATTAGTCTGGGTGCCTCAGCATCAACTAATCAGGTTCAGCAAGCAATCCAAGCTTTAACCGGAACGACGTGAGTTATGTTGGGAGATAAAGATGTCCTTCCGCCCTTCACTCGGCTCACAAACGATGGCGTTTTTTTCAATCAACTCCTACTTCAGACTAAAATGGGTGCTCAAGGTTTTCAGCCAGTTCTGAGTGCAGGACAAAAAATGCGGGCGAATCTCATGTTTAGTTCATGAGCCTATTCGATGGTGGCCGACTTGTTCGCTGAGATTGGTAATTGTGTTGCAGGCGTTTCCACACCAATCGATGTGGCATTGTCAGTGCGTTGCTGAGAAGCGGGACAGAGCTGTGCGCTGGTGGCTGCGTATAGAGCAATTGTGTGCACCAGTAGATAGCACATAAGAAGGCTTCCTTCGGTTATAATTGATAGCCCTGTTAGTGATCCTATTGGTAGGATTTTTCAATCCCGTCCTGATCAGACAACAGCCAGATGGTCTTTGAATAGAATATCTCCAATTCGTAACCTGTAAGCTTGACAGGACTGGTTTCGCGGCCGCATTTGCATCATCACATTCACTTTACGATTTCCAGCTCGTACAGGTTCATAGAATGGGTTCAGTTTAAAGCATCGTTTGACCGAGTTCGTTGTAGAGCTTCGTGATTTCAATAATTCCATCCGCGCAGCAGAATATTTACATCTTCCAACCTAAGGCTTCCATCTTGACGTGGTGGTCGGGCTTGAACGCTGCAATGATCCCACGGGCTAGAGTGGCTGGAATTTCGTTCCACAAGGTACAGCCTTGCCAGGAAGGTCAAAGGGGAGCGGTCAGACCAAGGGCAGCGAGACCCTGTCCTACGAGTGGTTGTGCTACGAAGCGGTATGGGGGAAAGTCATTCTATCATGTGCGATCGGAATGTGGAGGCAGTAAGGTGTTTTCCTCAGGCGACCATCATTTTCATATTCGTGAAAGCAGCAACGCTGACTTCCCCCGAGGAAGGATGGGTTAGAAAAGGTCGGCCTTAAAAACCACACAGTTTCCCAACGTTTGACCGTGACCACTGGCACAATGTTCAACAAGGTCGAAATAATTATAAAATCAAGGAGTCCAGTGCTGTTCAAAAGGAACTTGCTGTGAGACAGTAATGCCCTATTCCCTGTGCCTTCAGGTTAGGCCAACCCCATGCAGCCGACAGGGTTTCCAAAGAAAACACTACTCTCCGCTGCCTCGCAAGTTAAACTTTCAAGTCAGAAAATACATGCAGGTTCCTCCCACTGCCGTGTGGGTCACACTTTTGAGTCACAGGCTCAATGTGGGGTAACTCAGTCAAACCCCCTTTCTCAACATGTTTAACCTGGAATTATCATTTGCCCGCAAAGCTCTGTGTCCACTGATGTCCCTCCTCAAATCCTTCCTACTACACAAACAAACGTTGCTGGATCATTTAACGCCAGTTATCTGATCAAAGGGTATTATGATCTCTATATTTTAACAATGGAAGCACCTTTCTAAATCCACAAGATCTTTTCTCTCGATGGCAAATAATCAGAGCACGCCGGAAACATAGGCTCCATTAAAATTGACGTATGGTGTCTGAGGAACAAGCATGTGTTCATCCATCTTAAAAAGCCAAGGACTGACTAAATCAATAGTGTACTGGCAGTGAGCACGTGGATAAAGCGTGAGGAAATCTGAAAGAGGATATGGAAGCAGCATTTAGTGTTGTTTGTTCGACTTCTCCGATTCGATCACAAGACCAGTGGGCGTCATCGAGATTTGCTATCCAGGAGTGATACAGCAGACAACGAGTACGAAGGCGTTCGCAAATCCATCAACCCCCAACTAGTGGAGAGCTTGAGGAAAGACCGAGAGCTCTGGTGGACATCGAAAGTTCAGATGATGATGAAGGCTTTTGCTACCGGCAAGCCGTGCCCTATATTAACTGATCCTAGGAGAGTAGCAGTTGGTGAAATGATAAGTGAAACTGACCGCTCATTAATTCAATCCCGAACTTTGACTGGAAAGATGGGCCGGACATTCCGAAAAACAATTAGGCCTCGTGCTACCAAGCCTGTGGAGAAAATGTACGCAGGCAAATAGAATGTAAAACTAAGTCGCCTGTCGGAATAAAAAATAAATTACGAAATGTCGGTACCCAAACGCGAGAAGGCACCAGGACAGGACAGTCTGTATCCACTCCCTGGTGACCCATCTGACAAAGCTTATTGATGCTATGTGGAACGAAGAGAAGATGCATGAAGAACGAAGCATGTCGACAGTTATCCCTATCTTCGAAAAGGGTAACTGAACGTTGTGTGTAAACCACCGTGGCATCAGCCTGGTAGGCATGACATCGTAGATCCTCTCTGGTCTAATTATTCGACAGTTGACTGAACATGGGAAGAGGTGGACCTGCCAAAAATAATTTGGATTCCCTCCTGCAAGAGGATGAATCGATCACATTTACACCCTCCGACAGAGTATGAAACAGCGACACTGCTTCCGCCGACCAACAATGGTTTGTTCTTTGATCTGAAAGCTGACTTTGATTCTGTGGACCGTCAAGTATTATGGCAGTGTCTACGTAGAAAAGATGTCCATGTTCTTGATCCTCCTTCGGGCCCTGTGCGCCAACTCATGCGGCCATGTGAAAGCCCACGGGAAACTCGCCTTGTGTCAAACAAGGATGCACTCTTTCGCTTTTCATTCTCAGTTTCATCATCGACGCAATTGTTGGAGACTCACAATCAGCCCTTAATGCCTGTGGGATCGAAGTTCTCCCGGAGTGTCCGCTCAAAGATATCAAGTATGCTATTCTTAGATCCGACGCGTGAAAATGCAAACAATACTAAATAATCTAAATAGTTTTGCCCCACGGTTTGCTATGTGCTTCGGACCTACAAAGTGTAAAGTGCTACTGCAAGACTGGGTAGGCTCGAAAACTAGCCTAATGTTGCAAATGAGCCACTTGACAAGGTAGACAAAGTTTGTCTACCTGTTTAGCTGTAGCAATCCCATTGGTCCAGCGAAATGTGTTATTTCCATCAGGATTAGAAAGGCCAGAGCAGCTTTTGTGGATCTGCGTCACCTGTGGCGTAGGTGTGACATCACCTTAACCGTCAGGGATCGAACTTACAATGGTGCGGAGCGCTCCATATTATTATGCGGATCAGAGACCTGGCCACTGCTCAAGGAGGACGTCAAAAGACTTGAATTGTTTGTCCATCGATGTATCTAAATAGTTTGCCCCACGGTTTGCTATGTGCTTCGGACCTACAAAGTGTAAAGTGCTACTGCAAGACTGGGTAGGCTCGAAAACTAGCCTAATGTTGCAAATGAGCCACTTGACAAGGTAGACAAAGTTTGTCTACCTGTTTAGCTGTAGCAATCCCATTGGTCCAGCGAAATGTGTTATTTCCATCAGGATTAGAAAGGCCAGAGCAGCTTTTGTGGATCTGCGTCACCTGTGGCGTAGGTGTGACATCACCTTAACCGTCAGGGATCGAACTTACAATGGTGCGGAGCGCTCCATATTATTATGCGGATCAGAGACCTGGCCACTGCTCAAGGAGGACGTCAAAAGACTTGAATTGTTTGTCCATCGATGTCTTCGGAACATCGCATGAGTCTGGTGGAAACACCGGATCAGCAATGCGCAGCTACCTATCCCACCTCCCCGAATCATCGGTGAACAAAACTGTGGCAGCTACAACCACTGTACATACGCGGTTCTTATAGCTGATGATGAATATGATGATGAATGACCGTTAAATCTGCCGGATCTTACCATACGGAAACTAAGGTGAGCCATGTTTTGATATAACTGACTTGTGTTCGATGATCCGGTTAGACAGCTTCCCTCCGGTTTGTCCTCTGGGTGTTTGTATTGTTCAGAGCAAATTTTCTGGGATATAAAATTGTTCCCATTGCTTTGTCTCGTTTCGTCTTTTGGATTTGAAACCAACCATGTGAATGTATCAATTACTCTATAGATCAGCGGAATTCCATACGGTTGCAATATTCTGGCTGTCACTTCAAATAATTCTTGGATTTGAGTATCATTAACCGTTTAGCTGTTCGTTCTGGACGTTTTTGTTGTCACTGAGATGTCCTTTTCTTTGGGCCTGTTCGGATCAAGTCTTCCACTCCCATTTCTTTGCTAACTGTTTCATTCTTTTCTCTTCAGTCCCAAATAGACTTTGAGCACGCCTCTTTTTTATGATTCATCGGGTAGTTGCTAGGATATTTCAACATTACATCTGCATGCATCCTCTATAGATACCCGCAGGTCTGAGGTATTCCGCTGGCGGTCAAGAGTGCCGTTTGTCAGTACCTTCTGCCCGTAGTTGTTGCTAGTCTATACGGCTTTCTTGCGAGTTTTTATCGGGGAATGTGGTGCCGAAACTCCTCCGACGGCCATTTTGCTTTCAAGACATGCCCTAGGCTGGCTGAATAGTTTTCGTGGGATGTATCTCTGACGTTCAGGATAGACCCTTTGAGTTAGAAATTCTCTTCAGCTTGGCTGAGAACGTGACGAGATAGTTTTCCTTGCTGCTGCAGCAGCTATTTGTTGTCATTCCTATTGACGAAATGACAGGTTGAGCGCGCACGTCGATAGACCAACTTAGGAATCACCATGTCGAGCATTTGTGTCTGGCTGTAACGTAATGCAATCACGCCAAAAATCTGGTCGAAATTAGCATGAGTAAATCAGAAGTGGCCAAAGCACAATAAGTAGAAATGTGAAGGCAAAACAGCAAATCCCGTTCTTCTCAATGCTGTACAGGTTCAAATCTGAAGTTTTCTTATCGAAAGCCTAATATATTCCACAATAAATACCGCCATATCCCGTCTAAATCCTGTAAACAGCTGTTCTGAGCTGACGTTACCTTTTTCACTGCTTCAAGGTCCTTGGTCCATAACTGTTTGTCGTTTTCGAGGAATGAAGTAAAGTAGCCGGGACAACTGCACAGTGTCACATGGAATATAACTGGCAAGCTCAACTGAATACCTGCCCAGCAATCTGTTCCGAGCGATTGAAAAATAAGGTTGTCCGTGTATGAAGTCGCCACAGTCCACGGCGGCCTTTCAGTTTATTGCTACTTATGAAGCAGTGAAAACGGAAAACAAACCGAAAGCACTTCCAATACAGGTGAAGCAGGTCTCAACAGTGAATCAAAGGACACCACGCACGTAAGCGAAGTCGGACCTCCAAAGTCCTACTGGCGTGGGCATAGCAGCCAACTAAAACCATCCTCCTGGACCACACCCGCTCCCTGGAAGCACAGTGTCCGCGCGATATCTTTGATCACCGCACCTTCAATTCATATTTGTAGGGAATTTCACGACTTCAACCTAGGAAAGTAATTAAGACTTCAAGACATTATGTATTCGCGATGTTCCCAGGAAAATCTGTTCCACCAGTGTCCTGAAAAACTACTTGGTTTGGAGGACTGAGGGTCATAACCGGTAAGCATACAACACAGAGGAAGACTGAATAAAACAACCGAATGAGAAAAGACAAAACATAGCAACTAGGGTTGGAAATGAAAAAAATGCCAATTCATAGAGCCGTTTGGCATGTGTATGAAGAACACATGGACCGAATAATTTTCATAAAATCGATGCACCTAGCACACGTGCAAACGGTTGGCTGGTGAATGGCCACAAACACACGTTTAAACACATACACACACGTAAAGCATATTGGTACGCCAGGCTGCTTAGAATGGGAAATGAAAGTATACTTACCTTAAGGTAACCAAACTGATCGATCAAGATATTTTCCGGTTTCAAATCGCGGTAAACCAGTTCCAAATAGTGGAGATATTCGAATGCCAGAACAACTTGACCAGCATAAAATCGTGCGTGACACTCGCTGGAAGTAACATTGAGAAAATGTCGGAAAGGAAATTGAGTGTGGATAGCGGAGAGCTGTAACCTTGACTTCAGCAAACACAACTGTGTCAGGAAAACGCTGCCCTCTGAAACAAGTGATTACAGTAAGATGTTTTTGGGAGTATTTATAACTACTGCTATCATCCTGCACCGCAAACGATAAAATTTAATGCAGTGGTGGCGATAGTGTGGTTGACAGCATTCTGATGTGCCAAGTGGTTCACTAATAGTGAACTAAAGCACAACATAAAGGAAATTACTCACAAGGTTTCTGAAAACTCTTCGACAGCCCACGACCGGTTTCTTGGGGCTCCTCAGGTAGGCGCAGTCCCAGAGTTTCCGTCAACCTTATGTTCTAACTGAACCCAAACTGTAGTGTTTTCGAGAAATACACTCATTTGCAAATCAATTTGGTTTTCACGAGAGACTCAACTGAATCTCTCGTTTATGATATTCTGCAACTGAATGTGCTGCACACAGGGCTGTCGAAGAGTTTTCAGCAACCTTGTGGGTAGTTTCCTTTACGAAAATATACTACGAAATCTCGAATATCGTGTCAACTGAATCATGAGGCGGCCTGTATGCAGCAAATTCAGTTATAGAATATCATAAACTAGAGCACAACATGTTTTGTTTTGACAACAGCTTAACTGAATTCCCTAGTAATTCCCGAAAGGAATCTCTGCAACGGTCGTGACTATACAAGATAACTGGTTGATGGCTTCCATTTCAATTACCATAGTTGTTGGCATTTTGTTTCGTTTATTTAAATCGTTGGGAACATTAACCAACAAAACCAAATATGCAGTAGCAAATCACTGGACAGACTCATAAATGAACACCAAAACCAGCAGCCTATCAAGAAAAAATACGGGCATGAAAATGCAACGAATTCGGCAAAAATGAATGAAGTTTTGCTCTGCCGATAACTAGCGGAAATAACGCTTGATTTGGAGGTAGATAAACTTCGATTCAGTTAGAGTGAATCGGTGGCCAATCATCCACAGCCACTCACAAAATGAAGTCATCAGAATCACGATAACAAGATATGGCGTAATCCTTTGACCACACCTTTGATAGTGAAAGTAATTGGTTTGAAGCACATGGTCAACCGGACATAACGTAGACCATAAGAGCATGCGGAGGCAATAAGGAGTATAAGACAATAAGCTGCCGGATGTGTGCACTTTCCATTGACGGCGCTGACAACTGTTATGGATCACTAATATTCGCATCCAACAAAAATAATATTGTTTGGCCTGGTCCAAGGGAGTGCACATGAAATAAACTTGGGGAGAGCACATACAGACGAGAAACTTACTTGAATCGACCAACCCGCCGCAGATAAGAAAACATCTCACCACCGTTTACGAATTCTAGTACCATGTACAAGTTGCTGTTATCCTGAAGGACGTACAAAAAAAGAGAATAATGATGGCGGACTAAAACTTCCGGGTAACACCTCGACCCTTTTGTTTACAAGGGGACTTGAAGAAGAAAATACAACATGAATCGTCCAATTTCATACAACTGCGATACACTAATTCATGTGCTGTTATCAAGTACGTTGTCGTCCCTCGTAACTTTTCCGTGTGTGGTTGGTAGCGAAAGATTATGGTAGGATGTATCACAGATGAACACTCCCATCAGATGAGGACCAGCCACATATGATAAATCTATCGACTTTAATGGAAAGCGACTCTACAGGAGAAATTAGTTCAATGCGTAAGTGCGTCTAGATGACCCTTGGTGATGATTCCTAAGGCAGCTTGCAAATTAGGTAAAGGACTCCCGGGATCACTGAATAGTCACTACCGTCCAAAGCCCATTTCACAAGACTTGTTTCTAGATGGCCAAAATAGTTAAGAAGTTTCTTCCACAGAGACGTACGAGTTACTGCCATCTGCTGGACTGCCACATTATTAGGTCCTTCAGGATTCTCCGGTTTAATGAATTCTTGAGAACGTGAAACGCAGTCCGTAAGCTCAAAAGCGGCGTTAAAGCCTGTTATTTCTACCTCCTCTGTGAATAACATGCTAAAGATGAATCATTTATCTACCGCGCAGTGGTTGTGACAGATTATTGAAAACGAAACTATCAGACAAGACTAACTCTTCCGAGGAATAAAGTAGATGAATGCTTAGCTTTCGGACAATGCTATGGGTACGTAAGCGGAACTGGCAGCAAGACACCAGGTGGGCCTATCTGTGTACCGAATAGCGGAAACGGGCAAAAACGATTCAAGATATTTGTCTCAAGAAACTGACAATGTCAGCAATGACTCATAATACTGCGTTAGTGGTCAGTACGACTGATTAATACCAGCCATTAATAAGGCTGAAGATGCAGTCGATATCGGCGCGTCACCTGACCGTTGCTTATATTTGCCTATACTCAGAACGTCATTCAGCACACCATTCGTCATTCTAGAACTTGAAAATTACTGCTTGGTATCACCGAGCGCAGTCCAGTGTCAGGGGTGGGTTTGAACCACGGACAAATGAGTGGTGACGCAAACCCTTTCATACCACTTAGGACCGAGGGTAATCGATGGCTGCAACGAAGCACCATCGAACGCTGTTGTCTTTGTTTGGAATCGCTTGATCGTATGAAACACACCGGAGGATTTACCATAGTGATGGCGTTCATCAAGCAACAAGAGAGTTTTGCAGAATTTCGTGTAATCTGGTTGGGTAGGTGACGCCTAGCATGTAGACGGTCTTTATGGTAGCTAATGAAAAAGTGCAGGTAGGTGGTACGAGTCGCTAGAGAATGTCGCGGGTAAAACGGCAAAGAAAGTTCACAGGTGAAGCGACAACTTCAAGGATCCGGTCACGCCATCCAAAAGCCTAAAATGGAAATCCTAAAATCAGCACTAACCATTTGTCCATGCCAAGAGTTGTATCACAAAAATCATTTGAGGACCCAGACTGGCACCATAAAACCAGATAATGCGCCATTTCATCTCAATCTAGGGTACTACGTTCATCGTTGGAATCTCAGTCTGCACGGATCTTGGCAACGACTACCATTCGTGAGCGGCAACGGCACGGGGCACTTTTGAAACTACTTGCCGTAAGGTGAATTGTAGGTGCGATTCTCAGGCCACAAGGAGACCTAGTAATTAAACATCAGCGCTAACCGTTAAGAACCTGGTTTTCGATTCTCCTTCAGTGATGAAACGCCATTCAGTGCACGGCAATGGAGACAGGAAAGGGTTGTACAGTGAAGAATCTGTTGTGCAGAGGATTCGCTCATGCTATTGTGGTCTGCGCTGCTGCAGCAAAAAATGAATGATGTAGAATAGCATAGCAATATCCATGGAGGTTGAGTAATCTGGACCTGATCAGGTGAATAAGCTCTAGTGTTCAGCCACTCCCCATCGTTCTCTCGGTAGTTCACTATCAGTTGGCTCAGGTCATCCAGAAGATTGCATTGTCGTCCTTGCTGTTGACCTGGCGCGCAACGGATCAACTTGGAATGTCAAGAATAGTAACTTGGATGTGCAGCACTCTTCAAACCAAAGAACAATTTTGTTAAATGGTCCATATGATGATCTCTGGTCGGGCGGGTGTTGTGGTCATGTAAACTGTGAAAATTAAAAGCCCTAGCTTTGTGCCTGAGTAGCTAGTTGATGAGAATAGATGTTCCTCTTAAATGTCAATCTTGGGGGAATCGCGATGTGGAACTGCGGCCAATAGTTCCATGGTTCGAAGTCACGCCTTGCTCTCTTATTGCCCCTGTCTGTGCTCGAGTAACGTAGAAGTATATCATCCCCCGCGCTTCCTTAGAGATGCACGGTAGAAATGCACCGAAATAGTGCCACAAATGAACGTCTGTTAGTATGGACGTCTTAAGGCGGTACGGGATTCCCTAAAGGTGAACGAATGAAGTCGGGCAAAAATAAGGTTCTGATGTAAATTATGGTTGCACGCTAGCAAAACACTAGTGTTGTGCATTGATGCTATGCTGTCTATGATGATGATGAGAATGAAATTATATCCCTATA